TCCCTACAAATGAAGGAATACTTACTTTCAGTTCACTTGTAAGCTGCTGTATTTTACGTTTCATTTCATCATATTCACCATACATTTTCTTTCTTACTTTTTCCAGAGTTGCTCTCACCTGGTGTCAGAAAAATCAAATGCCTTTATCAAACTTATGGAAGATACTCTTTATATAGGACATGATCTGTTTTTCTATGTTCCACATTGTTATTTTCCATCATTTCCATTATGAATCTACCTCTGCATAGCAACAATTTACTCTTAAAAACAAGACAAAAACTTGAGTCTCAAGACTTGTCTACGTAAGGATGATACAAATAACTGACTCTATGAGTAATTCTAAACTTCTCTGTACACACTTAAACACTTGCAAATTAATAATTTAAATCAATTAGTTCAGTTAAATTATCTGTACATCATAATAACCTGATTACTAAATTAATTAAAATTAATTTGAGCATCTATAATTTTATTTCTGAAAAAAAGCACACATGGATTTAATACACCTTCATACTTTTGGAATTGGTTAGTTTTCCCTGTGTATTCTTTGAAAATAAACACTTTTAACTTCAGACTTTTAGACTAAACAACAAATTAGCATAAATTTACCGATGCAATTTCAAATCTGAAGAAGAGAGAATTCAGTTTGATTTTAAAAGCTATGGATGCAAATTATTCCCTGCCTTTCCAGCTTGGGTTTACAAGCCATTGCAATCATGTTTACCTCTACGTTCCAGCTATGTAATTCATACACTTTTTATTTTCTTCCCCTCTCATTTCTATGAAACACAGACTGCAGATAATCTAGGGCAGTGACTTACCTTGTCTCTGCACAGGGGAAAACTTTAGTAGGGCCTTATACAAGAGGGGATGTTGCTAGAGGCTCTGCACAGAGCATACACACTCCCTCCCAGAAAGAGGCATTGGCCACCAAATCTGGGCAGGGAGTGCTCCCTAACTACGTGTGCCCTTTAGGATGAGAAACAGAGAAGGAAGCTAAGTCCTGCACTTCACCTCAGGAAAGCACCACTCACCCTGTCCCCACCCTCACAGATGCACACACACACATCTTGCAAGGTGCAAATTTGACTCAGAGGCAGAGGAGACTGTCGGCAGCTCTGACACGGCCCATCACTTTTGGTCTATTTAAGTCAACACGTACTTGGCACAAGCTGAGGACTCTTGTTTAAGATTCTGTTCTTAAAGATGACACTTACTGGCAGACCACAGTTCACAAATTAGTGCAGCTGAACACAGCTTCCAGTACATCCCTTCCCATGTCTTTTCCCCTTTTTCCTAGAAGGACCAGTACCCTGAATACACAAGCAAGACATGCAGTTTGTCTGATCTGACATGTCCCTCCATGTCACAAGCAGGCTGTGAACAGAAAAGGGCAGGGAGATGGTCCAAGCATTCTGCACCAGGCACCAGAAACAGTGCAGTTTGGGGAGGTGGACCTGCTGCATGCCAACACACCTGGCCCTTGACACCACCCCAGCAGGGCAGAGCAACTAGCCAGGCAGGAAAACAGCAGCAAAGGCACCTTGTGTGCCTCACTGGCACTGCAGCAGTGACATGCCCTGCCATCCCCTAAGCACAGCAGCTTGAGAGTGGTGAACACTGGGAGCTAACAAATGGTGAGTAATAAGGGAAAGAAGCAAGTGCAAGAAGCAAGCTAGAGACCAGGCAGATGTTAAGAGCACATATAATTACAGTCTCTTACACTGCTGGCTTGACTCAGTGTTCCTCCCTTTTATATCAACTCAGTTTGCACTTGAATCAGTGTAACATGATAACCACTGACCAATAGCTTCCTGGGTGGTGAAGGTGGATGGAAAGAGAAGGTCAAATTATTTGCCCTGGGATAACTAGGGTGTTACTGCCAAACCCTGAGAGTCAAGGACTGACTGGCAGAGATGCTGCATTTCAAGCATAGAAAAATTTCAAGCAGCATCAGAAATGTATTTTCTGTCTTTCAGGAGAGCTTCTGCCAATTATGATAAATGAGCATGCACAGAGAAAGTAGTACAAAGACATCCTTATTAGGCTGACTATTTTAAGGCTGCCCCAAAATATACCCAAGTGATTTTACTATGTCACCTAATTTAGAAGCCTTTTCAAAATGGGAGGGTTTGGGGACAGGGGAAGCAGAGGAAGAGAGGAGAGTTTATCCTTTCAGGTGTCTGCTTACATAGTTTCTTCTGTCAGCAAGCATTAACAAGTACCACTTGGCACAGAGGCCTTGAGTCTGACTGCACATTTCCCAGGTATATAGCATGCCTTATTCCCAACTCAAAGAGTAACAAGGCCAGCCTTTAGACTCAGAGTAGGTTCCAAATTCAAATTCAGGTGTTGGGCTAGACAGAAGTCATCCCATTATACACTCACAGCTCTACATGAATATAGGGAAAGGGTATTTGCCAAATTTTGAAGCTGAAAGTGTAACTCACTTCTTTAATGTAGTTCATCTCCTCTTTCAGCTGATCAGCTGACCAGCCATAAACCACCATTTCTCTCTTATGGTTGTTGTCAGTTCGGTGCACAACGCCATACACCATTCCATGAGAGAGCTTCCCTGGAGACATGCCATTTGGTACATGGTAGGGGTCCTTAAAAGTAAAAAAATAAAATAAAGAAAAAGTTATTAGTCAGGACTAGAATAAAAAAATTCCTTAAAAGTAAAAAAATAAAATAAAGTTATTAGAGTCAGTACTAGAATAAAAACACAACAAACCAAAATACAGTAACAGGGCTGGGAGAGGCAGCCAACTATAGTGAAAGCACAACAGTACTTGAGAACACTAACTCCCAAAAGGTTTAGAGCCACACAGTCAATCTTCATGTTTTGGGGAAGAACAATGACCACTTTATAATTACTAGAGAATATGGAGATGCATGATTTCCATTGGCTGTCATGGAACTGATATAGGCACAGCTAGAGACAACTGATTGGATTTGTGCAAGGAGAGGTAGAGGCATGTAAGAAAAAGTCATCTTGGCTTATCTTCATTCACCAACATATGCTACTTCTCTGCACTCTTGCAGAGAACTGTTATGTCTCTAAGTTGCCACTCAGCTCTTGCAACCACAGAATTGTCCCTCACTCCCCAAACTCCCTGTGACAGGAAACATAAAAATTCACTAAATTTTATCATTAAAATTCAAACCATTTATGCAAGGTTCCTTAAAAGAGAGCTCTTAAAAGAGAAATTATCTGTTTATCTTGAAGATAAACAAAGTGGAATTTCAGTCTGCATTTAAAGCTGGGTAAGGACCTCCAAAGCAATCAGACACTCGTCTCAGGGCTCCTTTCCTCTTGCAGAAGTTGTAGAACTTACATTGTAAGAGGTAAAGCAAAGCCATGAAACAGCATTCAGGTGGGTGTTCCAGTGTTATTAACTACTGCAGAAGGATAAATCTTCTAAATCAGGTCTTGCTAGGTAAATAGAAAGGCTGTTCTAAAGTGACTACGTTTGAAATCTTGATCTGCAGAAATTTTTTAAACGTACTTGTAATAACTGTATGTCTTGCTTCAAGGCACTCTTCTCAACAGAGTCCTCTGACTCATCAGTACACTTAGTAAGAAAAATATTCATGCAAACAGCAGAAATCGTTTCCTTCAGCATGTAAATAAATATCTGCAAGATCAGATGTAACCACCTGACCTGACTACTCACCTAGCCTCCCTTCTGATTAACTCAGAGAAACATCCTTCTGTAGCAATCATCTGAAACGAGTCAGGCTCCAGAGCTACTCATTTCTCTTCTTATTACATAGACTTTAAACAACTAGCTTAGACAAAGACATCCACATTAGGACTTTTTTTTAAAAAGGGCAAAAAAATTTCTTACCTAACTTGGAATATTTGCAAACTAAGAACCTAGAATTTGTGATTCTTTCTGAACAGAAAGTTACAAAGACAGTTTGGAAACATGGTTGTTACTGCTTAGTTTTGCACATTGGTTTTGAAATGCCAGCGCTGGGGGAAAAATCTGTTATAGGTAATTTTACTGAACTTTGTTTCTTCTGCTGGACATAGTAGGATATAGGTAAATTTGAGAATATTTACTACATTGACCTGAGAATATGTTTGGGTTTGGTTCTTTATTCAGTAAAGACACTGTATGAAAACTGACAACCTTTAGTAAATTAAGAGTCTAAGCAGTGTCTAAATACTCTCTCTGATGCCAAACAGAGGCTGAAAGAGACAAAGCTCAGCATCTTATACCAATCTGCAGCTGCATCCTAGAGAGTCTTCAGTCCTTACCAGGGTAGGATCTGCAGTCTAAGGCAGCAGCACTTTCAGTTTTAGCAGCCAAACCAATACAACTATAGTGGCAATATAAGAATAAATACTTCCTTAGGCAAGGAGAAAATGAACAGGAAAATCTACTTGCGTTAAAAAAAATGGATAAAGACAGACATTTGGTTTATATTTTGTCCCTCCCACATGGCACTGACAGATTTTCCTCAACATTGTAAATCCTACACATTTTCCTTTATCGTAGCATTGATATCATATCCATGCTTCTGAAGCTCTGGGGGGGTGTGTGTAGGGGGTTGCAGGGCTGGGAGAGGAACAGTCACAGAGCAGACACCTGATAAAGAACATTTCAGGCAAAGAACAACAAAGCTGTAAGTTGTCTTTTAGAAAGAAAGCCTTAAAACCCCTTAATGAAAAAACATTGGCCCTACCTATACACTATATCATTTTGCACTTTGAAAACATTACATGTAAAACTTCATATCCTCATGATCAGACATTGCATAATTATGTATTATTGGGGTTTTTTTGTTTGCTGTTTGGATGTGCACAAAAAAAAATCTCACACCTGATAGTTTGAGAATAGAGAAAATGCAGAAACTACATGGGGACATGACTCAAAACTTTTTATGTTTGTTTGCTTCCAGGGTTGTATGGTTTCTTTCATAGTTTCATTGGAGCTCCTCCCCTGCATCTGGATAAAGAGATTACACACAAGTTTCCATCTTCCTGATAAGAGAATGAATAATCACTTTGTTTAGAGGTTACCAAGGCGCCAGACAGTGAATTCATAAATCCATACCCTTTACCCATGATCATTCATTTTTAATGAGCTGAACAGCTGAATACCCCAGCAATACCAAGATTCTTTGTGCCTCAGAAACAGCAGAATTGTTTAAAGTGCTGTTTGCAGTGTTCTGTATGAAAATTATGATGAAGTTCCTTATTTTTAGAATATTATGAACACATTCCTAAGAAATGCTTTGAAGGATATTTTTGCCCCTCTAAGAAAGACCTAGAAATTCAGACCAATGGGTTTGCAGCTGGAGAATCACCCATGGCACTTACATATGTATTTCACAGATGAACAGACCTAAATTTACATCATAATGGGCAGTACATGCAGGATTAAGTATGCACAAAGGCAGACTGGTTCCATGTCTCTTGCAACAATACCAAACTTGCCTGTTATCTGTATTTGCACAAACCTCCCAAGATGGCTTTGTTACTCTTCTTTCAGAATATTAAAAGAATCTCCATCATCTGTTGACTGTTCCAGTTCTACTATGTGCTACTTAAAATGCAAGATATTGCTTTCACCCTCTCCTTATTCCTCCTTCGTATCACAGTCCCCAGACAAGTGCCTGTTAAAATTTCAGTACAACTCCTGCCTGATTGAAAGCTGTGTGAACCAACACCTATACAAATAACTTACCGTGTGTTTCTTTAGTCTTTTTAATTCCTGTCTATTCCAACTATGCTAACCTTCTACTCCCTCTTTCCTCTGTTTTGGTAGCTCTTAATTTGCACTCAGTGACCACTTGTTTCAGGGTTCTGTATAGACCCTGGCAAAAAAAGGGCTGACCTGATGCAATCTCCTCTTAGAGGAAGGGTTACAATCACACAACTCTGCTGAATGCAGGGTTGAGAGATGGACAGATTGCTTTGCTTGTTGAATACTTTTTTAATACACTTTGCCTCTAAAGGAGGCCTTGTTGAATAGCTCAGTTTTCAAATTTCTACACAGAACTGCATCACAAAGTATGCATCAAGTATACATTCTACCAATCTGTCTCCTCTCAAGTTAGTTTCACCCACCTTTATTTTTCTCCCTTCAGTGTTTTTTTCCTTTTCTGCCTTGTCCTCTGTTCTTTCTCTGTCACATACCTCTCTCTCCTATGTTTCCTCTTTCACAAATTCTGGATTTTCCACATCCCCAAGTACTACAGAGCAGTTTTTTAAGCCAAATGCTTTTCATTGTTTTCCTCTACGTCCCATACCTACCCACTCTCAGAACTCAGATACTTTTCCAAGCAGACCTCAATGGTCTCCACTCTTATCTACAGTGAGGCATCTCGGTGAAGATAACAGCATAAATAAATACATGCAAATATTTAGGAGCAAGTAAATACTGTAAAGCTAGCCATAAAAGTGCTTTAAGATAGAAGGATATCTTGTTGTTGCAAGATATTGCAACAACACATCATCAGTAGGGTAAAACTAACCTGTCTCACGACGGTCTAAACCATTGCTGTTTAAGGTCAAACTATCAGCCAGCTCAAGAGTACAGGGAAGCTGTCACTTCCCACCTGCCTATGTGCTTGCTGTACTGGACCAAACACAGTTGCAGCCTCAAATTGTGCTCAAAATCCCTTCTAATGTGAGCTGCTGATCTGAAAAGGCAGACTTGGCTTAAGCAATTTGTGACTATTTCTTTGTACCTATAGTCAGTTGTATGACAGTCCAAGGTAACAGTAGAACACATGGTGTGGATGCGCACACATCCTGTACCAGCTTCCAGGAACATGCTTTGTCTAAGCTGCAGCAACACACGTTGCACTTGGTGTGATCACACAGCATGAGCTAAAGAAATGCAGGCTGTGGTTACCTAACTAACAGAAGCCTACACCCCAAGGTTGCAAAAGCCTTGATAATTGCCATGCATCCTGTTTATGTGTCTGTCCAAGGAGGGAGCACAAGTGGCATCAAACAGCTGATGCAAAAACATTATAAAACCAAACTCTACTTATGAGTGGTTAGCTGCTTTTTCTTTGGCCCATGGTTTTATGGGCATTATGTAAATAACACTGAGGGATGATTTGCTTCCTAATCTATCTCCATCAGGTTTTTTTAATGGAAGTCAGATAGCCCCATACTTTATACTTTCTCCCTGCCCCAAAACTGAAAGCAAAAGCATAGAAGATATATCTTCTTTTGAGGAAAGAAAGGATATCTAATGTAATGCTTAACACAATTCTGGGGTTAGTACTTAGATGACCTTAAAATTTTCCTGAATCATGGTCTTCTGTATACCTACACCATCTAAAGTCTTTCAACAAGAACTGTATGAGTTAAGCAAGGCTTTATCTTTTCCTGAACAGCCACATTCCAGACGCTTCTGAAATACCCAGTTATCTTTTACTTGTTCACTAGTTATACCAGGAACAAGAATATTCACATTGTTACTTAGGTTACATATTTGCTGTTCAGTAAAATGACACATTTATAGCACTGAGCTCACCAAGGAAAGTTACTGTGCTCTGACAAAAGGTAGCTCTGTTGTTAGACTTTTTCATATTCCTCTGCAGCCCATGAAACTTATGTTACATTTAGGGATGTTTTACACAAAAATAGTATTAAAATAGGGAAAATATGCAAAGACATAGACATGAGTGTTCTTAAATTCATCAGTGTTCTTAAATTCATGATGCCAGATAAGAAACATCACTTAACACATTCCAACTTTTAAGCTCCTTGGGTGTAGAATTTAGGTGTCCATCTCAAAAACTAGAAGTTAGAGGCATTATACAAAGTCATACCTAATCCATGGAATCTGTACACAAAACACCAATGTTTATACATTAGGAAAATAAGATACAACAGATTTGGCAGTAACCTCAGAAGGCCATGGAATTCTTTCTGTAGTTTCTATGTAGTGCTGGTTTTAATGATGGTGTCCTTTAATTAGTCCATATCAAAACTCAAACAATCAGTGCTGGAGAGACTGAGAAACAGTAACATCAGCCACCTATAGTAGATGAACCACATTTGTTGTGGCACAGATTCTGCTCTGCTGGTAGGAGTGGGCTGGCAGCAGCAGAGCAGCAGACAAAGTAGGCACTGTCCTAGATTCAATGTGCACAACAGCCCCATGCTCATTGCACTCATATTCTTGATCCAAGCCTGACAAGTTTCTGCTTGATTCTCCCCATGACATACAGAAGCAAATTCCCCTTCTGACTTCTTTAGAGCCTACTTTTTCTGCTGGAGGAAAAAAAAAATATTTGTTATGCTTCTGTACTCCTGCTTAGGAAGTAAAAAGAATTTCACTTCTTAGTTGTGATGCTTTAAAGAAATAATAAAATTAAGGAGAGGATATCTACAGCCAAAGTACTAATTAGAGTTTAAGACTAAACACTGCTCAAACTCAGCTGAAAGCCACAAAGACAGTTAAGTGACAAATTTCTGGAGTGTTATCTAATTTTCATTCTCTTGTCCATGTGTCCAAATGAAAAAGAAAAGTCTGTCTATACATATCTCCATATTCTGTCCTCAAAAGCTTAGCTGCAGCTTCCAATGACACTTCCAAATTTAGCCAGGACAGTGAAGAAAGAGACTGATGGATAAAAATAAGCCCAGTCCCAAACAGGGACAATACAATTGTCTGGTAGCCCTTTATTATGCAAGACAAGACAGGCTTCAGGACATGCAGATTTTGCATACAATCTGCCAAGCACAATATTCCTTTGTACTTCATGGTGAAGTAAACAGCCTCACACTACTGTCACCCATTGTCTATCATGACCAGAATTAATGAAACAAAATCAGAATAGTTTCTAATTCTCTCTACCTAAAGTGCTAACAATTCAGAGACATCTAGCACTAGGCTTTAAGCCTGTACAAAGCAAACAAACTAACCAACCAGCCTGAGCTTGTGAGTTAAGTTTTCTTATGCTTCTTTCAAGGTATCATAGCCTAAATAGGAATATAAAAATCCAACCTGACACACTGGAGCACAGGCTCACTCCCCCTTCAGTTTTTGAGATCAGTCTCTAGCTGTGCACCATCTGCCAGCCTTCCACAAAAGGCAGGGAGAGGCTGTCCTAGTACAGTAATGCCTGCAGCAATTTTGTTGCAACAAAACCACCCAGATCCATCACTTTATTTAAATCTCTTACATCCGTTCATTTTTATTTCATGGATGTATAGCAATAAAAAAGTCAAGCTGTAAACTTACTGCACTGATACAGATTTAATGAAATACAGCATGCATCTTCTGCGAAGCCTGGGCTACGATGGAAAAGGCTAAGCCAACAGCTACTAACATAACTGATAAAGAATCAGTTCTGATCTGACATTAAGCAGCAAAACAAGTTATTGGGAGGATCAGCACTAGCAAGAGCTGCTGTGCAGTTCCTTAGCTGATTCTGCAACTGAAACATCACTCAATAGTACTGACACTCAGAAATACACAGAAAAGTAACAAATACTAAGTCATCACTGTGTCACATTAGGGCAGCTCAAAATCACCTCCTTCTAATGAAAGATCTGAAAGAGCAGATTACAACCAAATGTCACGCCATGGTGTATTTATAGTTTTCTGGCATTCCCTCTGACACCGCAAGGTCTTTGCTCTCCTCCCTCACCAGCAGGGGCAGAGATAGGGAAGAGTATGTGTCTCTCCAGCACTCGTCCTGCCCAAACAGGAAAGCACCTGGCAGCCAGGGTAGGACTGCCTGACTTGCTTGAGCACTCCAGCAAAAACTGTATGATCCCACAGATTACCCCTGCAGTTCATTCCTGTAAATCACACGAATATATTTTAAATACCAAAAACATTTTCCATATTCCCATTTTCTTCATACTCAGCATTTAAAGACAGCAGAGAACTCTAGATTCCAACAAGGGATCTGATCTTAAATTTGATTCTTGCTGAAACTGAATTTTTTGACCTTAAATGTAAAGTGCAAGGCATAAAACAGAGCAGTTCCCTAATTTCTATTATCCCTATTTCCAAAAAGGGGGCACAGTTCTCATAGGACTGTGTGAGGATGATCTAACATTTGTAAAACTTGTTCATCTCAAAGTGCTTAAAGCAATTTCAGTAACATGCAGCCAGCTGAGCACGGGTGATCAGCAGAGACACCTGATCTCTGCTTTTATGGGTGTTTTTTAAATTAAACTTCACAGTGACTGTGTCACAGCACAACTAGCCATGAGGCACATGTGCACTGTAAGTTACTGTGTAACTATGTCAAATATATCAAGAGAGAGGCTACATACACAATAAAAATCTATATGCTGTCTGATTTTAAAGACAGGAGGAAAACCCAGTTCATGACTAGTGATTTTTTTGTAGCTGCTTCCATACACTACAGGTATACAATCTGTAGGGTAATTTTTCTAATTACACAAAAACCGTGAAACACAAGTAGATGGTACAATTCCCCTGTGTTTTTTAATTGCTATGAAATTGACATATTTGACCTAGCTAGCTCTGAAGCCTCTATGTTTGCAGACTAAAAGTCATTCAACTGTCTTAAAGTACTGAACTTCAGAAAATACCAGAAAATACCCAGAAAACACCATATTTAAACTGCATACCCTTTTTTTTTTGTCTCAACTAAAAATCTCTTTAAAATCACTGTGCACTACACTGAGCCCAGTTATGTATTTATTATCTTTCATATCCTCTCCTTAACATTCTCTGATATAACATCCACTTGCCTTGAGTTGTATAATGGGGGAAACAACAGCTCTTGTTAAACACAAGGTCCCACTGAGAAAAAAAACGTAAGAAAGTCACTACAAATTGGCCAAGCCCTAATCATTCACACTTCTTTCTTTTTATTGCACTACTCAGCACCATAAAGTGAGTAAGCCATGAGTCAAAATCTATCCTCCTCAAAAACAAACTTAGATTCCTCCTAGGGCAATGGGCCCATAAGCCTGGGCCAGTCTGAGGGTTGCTGCAATCAGACACATATGGCAAGAGACTGACAGAGAAGCTACTCCAAGTGGTACAACTAAACACCTCTGTACAAAATGAATTATTACTACTTAAGGGTGCCCCAAATTTAGTTTGCCTTAAGGCCTATTTAATCCATTCTTAAGTAACATTTCTAGATTCTGAAGGATCTATTACTCTGCCAGAGCAGTATATGAAAACCTGAGTGTATACAAGATTCCAGCACAAGAAATACCTGATAAGGAATCCTTATCTAGATCATTTTATTTTGCATTTATTTTTTTTGCTTTAGAATGTTTGTCCTTCTGAGTAATTTTAAAGTTATTTTTGCTTCTCAGTATCACTAAGCAATTATTTCAGGTAAATCCTATTGTAGTTTTTCTTCCTATATTGCTATTCAGACATTGGATATAGCAAACTTCACCAACTTCTTCGTTGCTTTTGGTTTATCAAAATATAAATGTGGTGAAGTTGTAGAGCCTGTCCAGCTTCCCTTTTTAGGCTCCATCCTTAAGACAAATTAAATATCATCTCTTGCTCTGATACAGCTCTTAAAGGACGAGTTCTGCACCAAAGCAGATGGTAAGATTTTTTTTCTGTGTGCACTACTCACTTCTACAAAAAGCTGCCCTTCTGAACCCTTTTAAGCACGTGACCTTCAAATCCCTTTCACTTCAGAACAATTCTGAACTCTTTATTTTGTATTTCCTGTTTGTATATCACCCATTACCAAAACTAGCCAACACAGCAAAACACCAAAGGCTGCAGCACACCAGCTCCCAGATACATTGATGCTCAAATCTTGCACAGTTAAGCCTACATGAAATACAAAATCCCCTTTAGCTGAGGATCAGGATCCTGTTTAATGCAAGACCCTGTTCCTGATAAGTTTCCTGCTCTTTGATATACAAATATTAAAGAATCAAGTCTTAAAGGTGCCTCAGTCACAAGTCACCTACAATCTCTCTGCTGTTCCTCTACCACTGTCTTATTTTACATGCAGCTTTGCTGTCCCTAACTCCAAGGCTCAGGCTCAAAGCTCAAAGCCAGTTTGCTCACCTTGCACGTGTTCTTTAGTTTTCCAAGACAACTGGGCTTTGGGCTCACAAAACAACTAATATCAGCTCTGTGGAGGGCAATATTTACTCCTTGTTTATAGAGAAATTAACTTTGATTCTTAAAACTTACGCTTTTCTTTCTTTCAATTTCCTTTGCTCCCTGTTCAGGCTGTGTGACTTCATCGGGTGGGACTGTTAAGCGTAACCTACAGACATTCATCTGAAAGAATAAAAACAAGATTTAGAGCTACAGAAAATTGTTAGAATCATTTGCTTTACAGGATGAACTGTACTGACATCCAAGTTTGAATTTACTGTTTTCTACCTTCTACCACACAGCTGACAAAAGATTAATTTTTAAAGGTTAGAGGGATTTTTAGCTGGCAAAAATTAATTCAAGGGCATCTCCACAATTACATACCTGAAATAGCAAAAATCCATTTCAATCAACAGCATGTTCTTACATACTCGTAAATGACATTGACAGCTAACAGAACAATGAACATCATTTTCTACTTTCTCGGTTCTGCTTGCAGATTTGGCATACTTTTCATCTTCAAAAGGCATTATTTAGAAACACAGAGTGCATTTTACAGTGAATGTTTCTTTTCTGCTCAGTATATAGCCAAGCATTTGATCCAGAGATACCACAATACTGCAACTCCACTGAATGAGAATGATACATACAAACTGTTTGTAAAACTAAGCTTCAAACCACTTCAAAAAAAATTTACGAGGTGTTGTTTCCAAACTGAATTAGAAAAACCATTCTCTTGCAAACAGGCCAATAGGGATGACACATTTCTGTCCCCAGTTGCAGTGTGCCTTGTTTTAGGCTAAGGCATCTTTGCTGTAATGGTGTTTTCAAAGCAATGCATTTCATACAAGAAATTTGGTTAAAATTTTCAGCCTTACCCCTATTCATGTTGTGAAAAACAACTGTAAGTCGAGTATAGGAAATGATGAAATGAGAAATTTGGCTGTCAAAATTTGAAGCTGCACAATACCTTTCTGTGAAATCCCAGCTGTCTGTTGACAACAGAGAGCTCTTAAAGCTCTTCCTCAAAACATCTAAAATACCTCTTTCATGATTACTGTGGGCCATCACAGCCCAGTATCTCATCTGATCTAGATCTCTCCAGTCTCTCCTAACTACTTACCTTCAGTCATGCTGAATGTGTGTCCCTCTCTCTGAACTACCCCTTCCCACTGCACTTGTCCACAACTCATGTCTTGGCCATTACAGCACTTCCTTTTGCCATGAAAATGGCAACAATGTTTTGCTCACAGGCATCCAAAGCACTGCAGCAAAGTCCTTTCCATAGACCTCAAATGTTACCATTTTACAATTCACTTCTTCCAACTGTCTTTCATCTCAATTAAGCTAACTTGACTGCATTTTCAAGCCTCTTTACAAGACAGCTTCCTCAGAGCACCACTATTCAGCATCACAACAAGGATCCCTGTTTTCCCTTTCCAAACAATGGATCTTTTTCAACTTTCCAAACAGGCTTTAACTTTTTCTTCTCCCCAAGGAAAAGCAATTGGAAGAACTATCTGCAAATATCTGCAGCAACTTCACTATTTTTCTCCTGGCCTTTCATTAAATCTATTGAGAGGACAAATCAGCAGCATTTAGACTACAGGTATGTGTCATCTATATTTTTAAAATGTTATGTACTGCCTTCCATCTTCCTCTCAGTTTGATCCATCAGGTCTTCAAGACAAAGATTCCCTTCTCCAATAAGGAGTAGTTTCCTGAGATACAGATAAAGTTCTTCAAAAAATATAAGATGTGTCTGCATTATAAAGAAGAAGGGGAAAAAAAGTCTATAAGAAGATCAAGGTAAAATACAAACTACTCTTTGGACACATCTGAGGAGACAACTTTTTGTGCAGTGGGCTCCTCACTGTTAATTCATCATTCATTCATATGCTAGCAAATCTACAACAAGAAGCCACAAACTTGCATAAAACTGTCAAAACTTAGTATAAAAGCAGGTTATGCATTCATATTTGCTAAAGAATTCTGAAACAAAGAAATGCATTTGAAAATTATGAATCTTTGCACGTTGGCTTTTGACACTGATTGACTGCTGTGTTTGTTCCAAGAACACTAGACTCTCCCCATATACCACAGGAGCTGGTGGTGCTTTCCCACTTACAAGTTAGTTATCAAGATATATCAATAATAAACTCTTCATCTTTGGAACCAGATAGATAAGGTAATTAATATCAACTTTTCTCACCTATTTAACTTCCATTTCCCCTGCCCTTTCTTTCCATTAGCTTAGTAAGGCTCTTTCCACTTAAAACGTGCCTGTTTACAACAAAAAGGGAAACAGAGACTGGCATTCCTCCATGTAGGCAAAGTCCAGAGCCATAAATAGGAAACAGAACTGAATTTGTGCTGTGCAGGAAGTGATAAATGAGGCCAACTTTCTCTTACAGTGATTTCAATTGGAGGAAAATGGACAAAAAGGAATTAATGGTTACTAGGAGAAAATATGAAAAATACCTCAAATAAATACAAATGGATAACGACTGGCAACTCAAAGTCCAGAGAAACGAAGTTGTGTCTGGATCTCTGAAGTTGACACATAGCTTGCCTATTAATCAGCATGGAGCTAATTATAACCAACAGAGATTCACAGTGCAGTGATTGTAAATAAGTAATTATACCTGTACCTGTCTAGCAGTTAGTGAATCATGACTGCCAGTCACATCACAGCAATGATGTGTTATGGGGCTAGTATGAAGGAAATCACAGAAGCCCATTACAGATGGCAGTCAAATCATTACAAGGAGGTTGGGAATACAATGTAGCAATAGTAATTTGCTGAGACTAAAACCACTGTACAATCAAGGGGTCGTTACCATTTAAACTGTTTTTCTTGCCCTTTTCACAATGCCTTATCTATTACCCCAAATCACTTTCCCCACCCCAACTGGCAATCAGCTAAGGATTCTAGCACTGAAGTTATGCCCAGCAAGGCTTGTGCAGCAGTGGCAAAGTACCACCCAGTTCCTTGATAGGACAAACTTATACTGTTCTCTCACTATTGTTTCTAACAATAGGACTTCCTCAGTATCCCTGGGGAAAGAGCAGCAAACATATAAAGTAGCCATCCACTCCTGCTCCTCCTAGGCCCAGATGATCCATTCTACCTAAGGACAGAACTACAGACCGGTCTGTTAAATTTCAGAAACGCTATAGAGACTGGAAGAAAAAAACAACAGGCACTGCATTTTCCTCTCCAGAAGCAGTTACAAACACTGCATGTATACTGTTCCTGCTACACAGTGCTTCCTGAAACAACACACTGTACCATTTGTTGGTGAGTTTGCTTGACCAAATGAATGAGCAGGCTCACATGGAAATCACAGCAAGCCCTCCTCCAACAGCAAACACTGCTGTAGTCATGCCTTAAAATGGAAATGAAATCGTAACAGGAAGAGCCTCGACTCGGTGCCAAACAGTGGCAGGATAATGTGCAACTGAGGATGAAGAAGTAATTTCCAGAAACAAATTGGGTAACGCAGAGAGAAAATTGGAGGAGAATGAGAACTACCCTGACAGGGAAACAGCTGTGATTCAATTTCCTTCAACTGCTTACTGACAGTAAGAACAAGTGAGAAAAAACAGGGACAGACATGCCTTCCACCCTACCTTTATGCCACTGACATTGTAACTTCGTGTGAGTAACTTCTAAAAGAACACCTGAGCAGAAGGAGAACCAGGTATCTTTCCAGTGATCTTTCAAGACTATCAGATTTTTGTTTAATCTGCAGCATCTGTAGCTTTGACAAGTCAACACTATAAGTAATCTTAATTGTGCCAGGATTTTATGTTCACTCCTGGCTTTTTGACACCAGCAACCCATGAGTGTCATTTCCAAAGTTCATCTGACGTCATTGGTGAAACAAACACACTGACAGGACAATGAAGACTGACAGGTTCAGCCCGGTGCAACACTAGACAGCAGAAGTTTGCTGAGTGCAATGAAAATTAACAGGTGAAGACATGCTTTTTTACCAAATTTCTAAGAGGCTAGTGGGACAGCATAGATGAGAGCTACTGCAATATGGCAGTTAAGAAAAAAAATAATCTAGGTTAGTTAAAAATGTTGAGAATTCATGGCCCAGATCCACAATCCACATTCATGTTTACCATCCTACTCAAATCACTAGGGTGCAACTTAAAACAAATACAGATGACAGATTCGGTTTCAGTAATGTTCTTTAGCCTCTTCTTCCCCTTTTCTAAAAAAACAAAGCATCCAGAAAAGCATTAATCATAGTTAACGACAGGCTGAAATAATTACACAGCATTAGCATTATAGTAATGAGCAATGTTGTTATAGAATAACCAAAGTTACTAGTACAGCAACAGAAAAGTACAGGCTGTCCTACTACCAACCAGTCTCATTCTAAGATCTTTATTGGAGCCACACAGGGAAGATGTGGCTCAATATTGATCTAGCTTCAAACCAGCTTTGGAGTTAAACATCACCAGAATGTAACACTGTTGATACTGTCTGATAATAAAATGGTATGGGGATAACACGTCTGTCAAGTAATATCTACTACCCTACCAGCTCAATGGCCAAAAATCACTCCGTTTGCCTAAGGTCCAAAGTGAGCTTTAGGTGTTTTGAAGATGAAACCAGAAAAAGTGGATGTTTAATTTCAGTCAGTCCTAAAAAGCAAAGAAGAAAGTACTTTCTTTGGTCATTTATCTGTTGATTAGCCTGCTCCATTTATGAAATCTCTGCTATGAGATTCCACACACAATTAAAGGGCACTTTTCCTGTGACCACAGGCACACAGGAATGTGACACACATCTTTCATTTATTCAGCAGTTATTCTAACTGTCTTACTCCCCTCTTTTGACAACTCATGGTAAGGGGGTGACATTTCCCTAAAAAAAAGGGACAGCAGCTTCCCAGTGGGTTGTATTTGCAAATTAAATTTTTACCAGTTTCCTTAAGAGAATGTATCAAATACAGTTCATTGTATATCATTCCCAGTAATCTCTCATGGGGATGAAAATAAGAAAATTATCACTTGAACACAAATTCCCTTTATCTTCTTTAAGAAATACTAAAACAGGGAAACTCAGTGGGAACATGAAAGACATACAGGGAACATAATTATGATTTCCAAGTTATTTTAAGTTTTCCACATACATGAGCGATTTCATTTTCTAGCAAGACCAA